TTGTATATTCTCAAAGTAACTTTCTAAGAAATTTTTGTTCGGAACACATATGAATTTTATACAAAGATTAATAATTTTTTTTCTTATGGGAGGAAAAACTTTGAGTAACATTGGACCGATCAAATTGGTTATCAACCTGTATATTAGTGAAACTCCGTTTCTATATTCCTCCATCAAGTTATGGAAATCCCTATAAAGTCAATCAATAGAGTGAAAAACAAGAGAAGCAGGAACAATTGTGCAAGGAAAACGAGGTAAAGAGTTGAGTGTGCCGGTTGAACGTACCAATCAAAGCGCATCGCATTCGTGTATGAATATATTATTTTTAAGTATCATTGACGTTCATAGAAACATATTGGTGGCTAAACTGTGTAAAAGGATATATAACCCACCAACCCTGTATAACATAAAGAAAAAAAAGAAAAACAAGAAAAAAAGAGAAAAAAAGGAATTTCTTTTTATATGCTTGCTTTTGGAACAAAAAAAAAACAATATAAATGAATGATAAGAAAAATATTTATATACATATTGTGAGTTGGTTACTGCCATTTAGCCAACACGAAAAAGACTTTGTCATCTAACTCAATTATTTGTACAGAAATTCTACGATTGTAAAACGATGTTGAATGCCCTAAGAAATTCCTACTGAAATAAAAGTTCACCAGTGAACATTAAATGTCAAAAGAAAAAGTTTCATCATTCTGTGTTTACTTCAGTCAAGATGCGGTAAGAGAAGGAGGATTAATTTGCCAGTTTCGTTAGCCTAGGAATCCCGTGCACCCACGTGCACCTACACCCCAGCCGTGTCGTGATTGTGCCGACGAGGTAAGAAGAACTCCCTACTTCCTTGCCGTGGACGGGAGCCGCCGAAAGAGGCAGCACTACATCAAGAGAGGATCGTACTGTAAGTCCCTTTAGCTATTTATTCCCTTGTAATTTTGTTGTTCCCAATGAGTGGCTAAGCGCGAGCTGCCACCGCTGTGGCTGAGACGTAGGGGCGTGCATATGGTGGCTATGTAGGGCCGACGCTAGACGATGACCGACTGACTCACTGATGACAGACGGACAGCAGACAGCCGATCGGACCTTTACGTTCTTTTAGTTTATTTTTTTTATTTTTCCTTTGTCAGGAGGCTCCGAGAGCCAAACCCCAGGTCAAAAAAAAAAAAAAAGAAAAAAATATATATATATATTTATATGCTCTACCGGCCGAAAGGAGCTAAGACCGTGACAACTCTCATATGGACATAATTGGCCAGTGTTCATATATATTCCCTCGGCAACCAAGAAACGACGCGTTTTAGCCGCTTGTTGGGATTCTAAGAACAAAAATGTAGTTCAAAAAGAAATAGCTACGTTTGGATTGCAGCTTAGAATAACAATGGAGGACAAATAAGAAAATTATATTCGGCCGCGACCAAATCTTTTATACCCATCACCGCTATCCTAAAAAAGAAAAAAAAAAGGGTGAGAACGAAAACACTAAACTTCTTAACCAATAATTGCTTCCTCACCCGCATTTCGATCGTAAAGGTTTGGTAAATAGTTACAGTGCTGGCTGTGGTTCTGTTTCTATAACAGCAGGGCTTTCAGAAGTAGTCTACAGGTTTTCGAAGGTGTTCGAAATTTATTTTTAAGTGGAGTAAGTTCGGATGTCCCTATGGTACAGGGGTGCGTGAGACTTTCGGCCTATTAGAAACTTTCTAACCTGGAAATGTAGGCCATTCGTCCATTACATTTCTTACAATTTATAACCGAAGAATCTTTCACAAGGAACTTATGCGACGTTATGTTTCAAAATTATATTGTTGAGCAGGTATGATTGAATTTTTTATTGAAAGGGAGAAGTGCTTCGCTATCGACCGTTAATTTTCAGTTTTTCTTCTCCTAAATGCTAGGACTAAGCTAATCTGATGATCAGAAGAGACTATAAAAATATTGATACGCGTTACGGAAGAATGGCGAGGGTGTAATAAGATCTTGTATAATGCAATTGTATGTACGTGGCTGTGTGTGTATGTCATCTATACATGTACTTAGAAAAATATGTATATAACAAGTAATGCGTTTATAGTTCGTGTAGAAAAAACTGATTTCAAAGAAATCTACCTGTTAAGAAAAATTTGGAGTGATGTTCTTCTGTTTGTTTCTTTCTCATGACGCTTGTGTTCAATTGAAAGCAAAGAGAATTCTAAATTAAAGCAATTGACATTTGTCTACCGCAACGGTACGAAATATATGCCGTATTGCGACGTGAAGGCGTACTTATCATGAGAACACTTATATAAGCAGGGTTCAAAGAAATAAATCCTACACTGTACATTTATATATGAAACTAATATTTTGCAACAGTTTTCATAAAAAAATGGCTTTGTTGTTCTATAAACGGCAACTTTTTTTAAGAAGGTCCATAAGGAAGATAGTTCAAAAGATCGCTTCAAAGCTTTTGTATGGAGAAATATGAAATAGATCAACTTTTGTTCATTTCACGACTTATCCAGCATTCCCCATAATACCAAAGCATTTTATTACGTAAAGCTTCATCTCGAATATTGTAAATGGAAAACTAAAATGCGTTCACAAAGCAAAGGCGGAGAGACATACCTTTAATTTAATTGTACCATATCTTAATTAACGTAGCGAAATTTATCGCACATTTGTCAGTCCACGTTAAACTAGGACTGCGTATAACAGTCGCAAACAACTCTTTAGAAAAGTTAGACGCGTAATGTTACACTCCAAATGAAGACTGAAAAGTAGATGTCCAAAAAGTGAATAAGAGGACAATACACAAGTTGGACTTACCACAGATCCAGTTAGCATTGTTATGCCTAATTTTTTCTCATCCCCATCACCGAAAGATAAAGAGGTATATTCATTTTGTCAAAACGTATGCAATGCCCGCAAAGACGCTTTAGAGACCCCACAATGTTTATATGTACTCACGATCAACACCAAATCCTGAATCGACTCAAGAGTGTCCATCTGTCCGTTTGTCTGCTTGTCCGTCTGTCTATCCGTTTATGTAATGTCGGTAGCAAACATTCTCCTGACCGTAAAAATGAAGTTATCGACTTTAAAATTCTGGCAAAAGCATCGGAAGTTCTTGTGCGCAGGTTGATATTCAAAATGGCCTAAATCGATCGAAGGGCACCACGTAAACTAAGAACACTTTTGTTTTCCAAAAGATATAACAAATTTGGTTTGGTCATAAACCATATCAAATAAATATATATATAAATCTGAAAGCATCGTGATCATACGATAATAGCATGCATCGTTATACGTTTTCTTATCACCGTAAAGATGAATAGTTTTTTAGGTACAATTACTGAATAATACAAAAGCGAAAATGATTAGTTATATTGCTCGTCAATTTATTGCTTGGGTTGTTGCCCTACCAACTCTCTATATATGTATAATGCAAACATAGGAGTAATCGGCTGTCGATACTTAATCAAAAAATGACCGTTATTCAGCTTGATTTTAGTTGATGCAAGATGCGCAAGCATCATCGTGAGAGCACGGTAAACAAGAAATTGTATGAATATCGTGCGGCGGACTTAGTATATTTAGTTGTGTACTCTTAATATTGAATTTAAAAAAAGAATACTTAAATACTTACTTACTTACTGATGACATAACGGTAAACTTTTTATAGTTTCAGGTCTTTGTAGAAAAAGACATTATTTCTAATTCAATTCATTTCACTTTAATCGAGAGTAGCAACATAGATATACATTTTTTTCAATCATTTTATTTTTAGCATCTTCAGTGTTATTTTATCTATCACTTGCTTGTCAATAATATCAATATGTGACCAGCAATAATGCAATTTATATGTGAAGATTTATGCAGTTATTGTCATATGTCATATGTATGTGAATCCATGATTAATTGTCCTGCAAGAAGGAAAAGTAAAGATAATTAAATAACAAGTAAGAAAATTATATTCGGTCGTGACTGCATTTTTCGTACACATCACCGTTTTCTTAAAAAAGACAAAAAAAGTAAAAGAACTAGATTTTCATGGTCTATAGTATGGAGTGGACCGATACTTTGTGCGGTCTCTCGTGCTTCCAAACGTTTTGGCAAAATGAATATACTCCTTATTCTTCTGTGATGGGTATAAAAAGCGAATACTTGTTACTTTTCTGTTTTGAGGGCTACTTGTTATAACTACTTAATGGATATTTAGATGATTTTATACAAAACTAGGATATTGCGGTTATTAATCTAACCACTTTGGAGTAACTGTTACTGTGTTTACAATAGGTAGAAAGGTTCAAAAGAAATCCTCTCAAATATTAGGGTAAATATTAGGGTAAAAATGTGCTTCGAATTAGATGCGTCCTTCTGTGCGCCCGTTTATCGTTGGAATGTTCGCTCAATTAATTATAGCAGATCAAGCCAAAGAGTGCGATGGGTCAAACGCTTGAACCAGGTTGCGTAGCAAGATATTTGTTGGCTTTCACGGGTCGAACACACGGCTTCTTTAAAACGTTCACTTCCATGAACATCATCGAAAGATGTTCGTATATTGGGTTCCGCATTGACCAAATGTACGCAGATCCTTTAAAGCAGTTATATATTTAGGTTGTTATTGATTTTGCTCTGTTCGCCTTAGGAAGTTCCCTTGGTCCCAGAAAGCAACTTGGCTGATAGTTTCATTCAAGAGTTGCCAAAAAATCCTTGGGACAAGAATGTGAAAATTCTTTTCCCAATAACTAAACCACTTCGGCAGATATCGGTTTAAAAGGGGGCACAAATAATAATTCTCTCTACTTAGTAAAAAGAAATTTAATAAAAAGAAACTCTAGAATTTGAGCTTATGATTATCCGAAATTCAGATGAAAAATGATTACAGTTTTCTCGCTTGTGTTATGTGCACACTATTTTTTCTTCACTTCCAATGCTGGACATTTAAGATTTTTTTAAGGCTTATGTCACTTTTCTTAAATTGCTTACTTTATACTTTTGTTTTTCTATATATTTTTAAGGTTATGAAGGCCTTATGTTATGGTACAAAATTAATTGGCGGCTATTATGCGGATCGCAAGCCCGAATTGGCGAAACGTTATGCTATTGCCAGCTCTCGAATATCAGGAGCACGTGCAACGTTACGTTTAATTGATGATGTTCCTATGATTCAGTACGCCTTAGAGTATGGATGGGGTCAAAATGTAGGGCTGCGTTTGTCAACTTATGCCACTATTATCAATAATTCCATTTTTTAACCTTTTTTCTTCCATTATTTTAGGAAAGTGATCGTGTTATGGCTTTATTGGGGGTAACAGCGAATCTAGTCGACCTAATTTATTATCCAGTCGAAAAGATATGTTGGTTGGCTGAACATAGAATCGTAGATGTGCATAATTACGATTATTGGGATAAAGTTAATACAATATTTTGGGTGCTGTCAGTTTACTTAAATTTGATGAGGTTACCAATGAAATATTTTTTATTAAGGTTCATGAAGTTCATGATAAATTTTGTTTAATTTCAGAACTCTAAGAAATTTCGGGCTAAATCAACAAAAGCTTAATAAACTAAATGAAATGCAGTAAGTTTAAGTTTCAATTGCTAAATAATTGTCGTAATCTATTAAATTGAATTTTAAGGAAACCATCCATTGATGATACGGTGTTAAGGAAACATCGCCTTGAAGTGTGCTCCTTAGTGCGGTTGACTTTAGATTTTGTGCATGCCGTCAGTTACTTACCAAAAGGTTATTTATGGGGCGGCAAATTGTCGACACTTCAGGTCGGTGCTGTTGGTACATTATCGTCTTTCTTATACCTTTATCAAATATTCACTAAGCGGAACCTTAACAAATAACGTACTTTAAAATTAGATTGGTTCTTAGAGCAATCCTGTCAGCTAAGTAAGTGTGTCCTTTCGTGCAACTATAGGTTTAAACTAAGCTTAATGTTATTTGTAGAAAAATTGAAAACAAAATATTTAGATACAAGTTTGCGTCAATTATTGTATTATAACATATTGTATCAACTGTACATTAAGAAGATCAAAAACAATAAAATGGCAATATTTTTCAAGAAAATCAAGAAACGAAGAACGGTAAAGCTAAATATCTATTCCTGCACTTGTTTTCCCAATTGCAATTATTTGAATTTGTTTAACCTGAAAACGATCAGAAAACAAAGCGTTTGTTTTTGGCATCGAATGGATAAGCGTTGCTATTGCGCAAATGAAGGTATCTCATAGAGTGCGGAGGGCGGAGGGCGGAGGGCGCGCAACCGATAGTTTGCTTTACCTAGGTCCGAAATATTCTCACCATTCTTTGCAATTTAAAAATTTGAACTGTTTGTACTTTTAAAAGTTAAAAGATTTCCCATATTTGATCAAAATATCTCAAAAATTGCGGGCTGCAGCTTGCATGCACGAAACAAGACGGACGGACTGACGAAAAGAAAGACTTAGGTCAATTCAGAAAATGATTCTGATTGATTGGTATAAGAAAAGGTGGGTGTAGGTCAAGCCCTTTTCCGACAAAATTGTGTGTTAAATAGAAAAACTGTTAGAATGCAATCTCAATAATAGCAAAGGACAATAGGTATGTTCATGGAGCATCGAACCCCGACATTTCTTAATTTCGTTTCAGCAACATTTCCTTTACAAATGAAAGATTTTAATCTTTAATTCCTTTCCCATCTTTCTCTGCTGCTGTATGTTTACAACTTATTGGGAATTTTATCTCAATTTGTATGGGACGAAGGATTATCGTTAGCTGTTTCCAACTCAGAAAGAAAAAAAATTCCTGGATGCGGCTAAATTACTTAAAAACTTTGGTTTGCTCAAAGATTTGTGCACTTTATTGTGCTTCGGAGAAATAATTGTGAATGTTAATTAAAATAACACCGTCTTCCTGCGACGGAGCGGCCAAGGCCGCAATTCAATTCATTACTCTAAGTCGCTTGGCCACTGGGTCATTTTCTTATTCCTTCTATTTATTTATTTAAATGCATTTCTCTATGTCTCTCATGCCTTGGCCCTTTTCTTACTACTTCTTTGCTCACTTGATATAATGTTTATCAAATTTGTTGTAGAAGCTTAGATGTACTTATCGCGAGGCCAGCATATATTTCGAATATTCAGTAGGGTAAGTAAAAATGAAAACATAATATTGAGCGCCTACCTGATCAAAGGCAAGTATATGGAATGGCATTTTAAATTGCAGCTATTTTGAAAATCCAAAAGAAAGAAGTGAAAGTCAATAAAATTAAAGGTTTGCTAACAGTTTGTTATGCGAATATTGTTTGCTTGTTAAAAATGAAGCAAAGCTTCTATGCTCTTCTACACAGTGTAAAGTTAATTATCGAATGCTTTCCAAGCGTATAATTCAAACGATTGCAGGAAAGTTAATGAAGCACCAACTTATTGCGCGGAACTTTAGAATGATATTGCGAAAGCGACACTTCCTTGGCTCAAATATTGAATTGACAAAGGAAAAGCCGTTCTTCTTTTTTTTCTTTCATCCTTTGGTATGTCGAATTTGTTTGAAGTGCGCCTAATATACAATTCGTTATGCGACCCGGACTATTTTCATTAACGTCCGCCTTTGGCTCATAAGAAGCCATTGTACTAAATTTGATCAAAAATTTCTCAAAAATTGAAGCCTACAGGTTGAACACAAGACAACAAGACAGATAGACAGACCAAAGCAAACTTTATACACCATTGCGTAGTAACCACCATAAGTGGTGCAGGCTATAACAAGTAAGAAAGTCATATTCCGCGTATGCCGAATCTCGCATACTCACCACTATGCTGTTCGCGTTCTACTTTCCAAGGCAAATAACATATCTCCATTTGAGGAGATTTGCAAAATAGTTTTATATATTCTGTCTTGCTTGTCTTATGATAAATAAGCATAAAAACTCAAAAAACTGAAAAAAATAATATATAATGACTTGTAACTTGGTATGGAAATGGCCGATTTTTCCCATTTGTGCACATAAAGAGTAAAGTAAATGTGGAAAATTTCAGCCTTCTAACTTTAATAATTTCCGAGCAACGAACAGAAACCCACGACCTTATGCTGAGAAAAACGGATTTACGTTCAGTCTACGCTCCGCTGCGTTTTTCTGCTTTGACCAATTTGGCCCATTTTCAATATCAACGCGCGTGCAAAAAATACCAATGATTCTATCAAATTTGAAGTCGATATCTTCTTTTTTGCGACCAAAAGAGTGCCAATCACACCGACGGTGACCAAGAATCCATACACTTGAGAGGGTCTCTGAATCTTTCTAGAATTACTCTGTAAGTGTAAAGAGAATGTCAAAGGTGATTACACTTAACTTATAAAACGAACAATATTTTTATACGCGCTAAAGCGAACGAAATCGCATAAAAAAGAATTGCAATTAATGGACATCAAAACAACTTAGAAACTTTCTGTAAATATGGGATAGTAGTTATATTATGTATATGGTTTAAATATCTCCGTCCGACCGTCCATTCCTTTGTTCACTAAAACGATGCTTTAACAGCATACTCCGTAGAAAGAAAGAACTCTACTTTTTTACTGTACCGTCACAGAAACCGAAAAAGATTAACTGAGTTGGTTGAGTATGGACATATTTGCTTTTAATTGAAGAGAAATTCGACAACTACGCAGACATTTGTCACGCTACAAGGATTAAAAAGTATTTTTATATGCGCGGTGCTCACAGTGTTTCCTTGTAAACCAGATCGCTCTTCTTACGTAAAATATTATTTTTGCGGTAAAGAGAGAGGGAGTGAGTTATATATATTTTTAAAAGAAACAAAAGTATAATTTTTGGTTAAGGAATGTGTTTATTAAAAAGACAACAAATGAAGTCAAGTAAGTGAGGTGTATAAACTTGATGCAAGCGAATTATGACTCCGTATCTTTTCCTCAAACGGCTGTGAGGTGGGTAGGTGATTAAAATGAATCGTTTTTACTTGCCCATAAACAATTTTGTTCGTGTCAATACACGAATTCTTGAAGAAATATGGATGATGTCGATATGTAATATATTAACGTAAACGAATGACTTGTTGACCTTAACGTTTTCGTATGCGAGGTATTTAATTAAAAACCAAAAAAATCTTTATGAAGCTACATGATCATTACGATAATGATGATGATGTCGTAAAGTAATAATCAGACAAATAAAAAGCAAATAAACACCTTCAGATCGAAAAACAAAAAAAAAAAAAAAAAAAAAAATGAAAGGAAAGGAAAGGAAAGGAAAAAAAGAAACGAGATATCCTCCAAACAATGTTGTTTCAATGCGAAATCCGCAAAGTGTTAAATGCATATACATGTAATACGCTCTTACCAACCAATGTACTACATATATACTATACATATGTGCAGACATTATTTGATTTTAGAAAATTTTTGTACTGTGTCTCACCGCGAGATGTACGCATACATATGCATAGGTGCATATAGAAATCGCTGACACGGTTTATATGCACGTTCTTTATGGTTATGTATACGATTCTGTGTCTGTTCTTGATCTTATTGTTGCTGCCGTTAATGTTGTTGTTTGTTGTTTTTGTACTTTTTTGTTGTTGTTGTTATTGCTGTTGTTGTATTCGTATTGTGAACCATAATTATGGTTATTAATCGACTTGGAAATTGGCTGCTAATTTGCAGTTTAGTTGGAAATTCTGGCCGATGGCTGGCAATTTAGAAATAAATTATAGCTTGAAAATAAACAACAAGATGTGATGTACACTACACAGCCAACTAAATATACTATATATAAAATAACAAAAGCAAAAATTGTAGTTTTTTCAAAAAAAAAGAACAAAAAAAAACAAAAAAGAAAAAAAACTTTGTATAAATAAAAAAAAATAAAAATAAATAAATAAGAGGTAAAAAAATCTATAAGCAAATACACATACACACCCATTCAGGCATTTAACCCTGGTCTTGAAGTGTAATATATTTGAAATTGAATGGATGGTTGAAATAATAAACTTGCCCGTGTTCTCTATGGGATGTGAATGGAATGTGTTCAGAAACACTTTGTGCTCTAAACATATGAACAAACTTACTTACAATAAATAATTGCTGAGTGGGGCTGAGGGGTAATGCAACGATGGATTCTAATGTGTTTAAGAATAATCACGAGAGTATTCATTGCAGAAAATTGTACCAACCATCACCGGCATCAAGTAATTTAATGCTACTCTACACTCGAGACTCCGGCACAGTTGTTATCTCTTCAAGTTCACTGTTTGTTCTTTGCTTGTTGTTACTTTGGCTTCATATATATGTTTGCAAAACGAGCCAAAAGGAAGTTATTCAAAGATAACACCTAACGCAAAAAATTAGTTATATATAGATATATATATATATATAACAAAAGACGATGATAACGATAAAGTTGATGAGTACATCATATCCAATGAGATGAATGTTTTATGGTTTTTAAATTTTTATTTGCCGAATAGCTAACTCCACCTCTTTTATAAATTGGTCGCCGAAGGTCTGAACGAAAAATGATATTGATATTAAATGTCAGCGCCTATAGTCTTAAACACAGATGCTCGTACACACGGCGATAAGAGGATTTATCATATGAATTGCTGTCGATTGCTGTTCGAAGGCATTAAATCGCTAGCAACGGCACGATTTCGATATTTTTGTATGATTGTCAGGCTTTTTTTTTTAAAGCACTTACGTATATATATTGATGAATTTGATCTCACAACATATCTATGTCAATTTATTCGGACGCATTGATATGCGTCATACCGAGTTTGACGCCGTTGGCAACATTTCATTACAGTATTGCATATAGCGACATAAGATGAACTTTCAAGCAAAGATTTAAGATCCTTTTCATTATATCTATTGGGATTAAATTTTATGAAAGATATAAAAACGGCTGTCGATAACACATGAAAGTTTGTGGCTTAATGCAATCAATCCTGCTACTTGGAGGACCATTATATATGCTATACCATTTTGCTTAATACATTTATGCATGTAACGACTTTTTGAAATGAGGCGCTATATTGGTGGCGGTCGAAAAAATGGTAAGATGGGAACAATTT